CTGACATGTGGAAGAGGTAAGACATGCATGTATGCGATAAGTGTCCAGTATGAGGAACGGCTGTATGCAAGTGTCTGACGTCTGCGCCCAGAACAAGCGGGGTGACAGGAGAAAGACGGAGGAGAAAGCCGTCCGGCATGTACGTTCTCCCTAAGATGGCATCTGGAACGCACGCTGAGGCGCAACGTTGGCGTGATGACGTCAGAGACTAGCGTTCATTGCAACACGTTTTTAAAGCATGCTCTGGCCTCTTGGTGGAAGCGTGCTCCTTTATCAAGACAGCTTGAATGCTGGTCTCTGACGTCATCACGCCAACACCGATTTTAGGAACGCACGCTGAGGCGCAACGTCGGCGTGATGACGTCGGAGACTAGCGTTCATTGCAACACGTTTCAAAGCATGCTCTGGCCTCTAATGGTGGAAGCGTGCTCCTTTATCAAACTTGAATGCTGGTCTCTGACGTCATCACGCCAACACCGATTTCACGCCTCAGCATGCGTTCCAGATGCCATCTTAGGGAGAACGTACATGCCGGCTGGCTTTCTCCTCCGTCTTCCTCCTGTCACCACGCTTGTTCTGGGCGCAGACGCGGATGTCAGACACTTGCATACAGCCGTTCCTCATACTGGATACTTATCGCATACATGCTTGTTTTACCTCTTCCACATGTCAGTGTTTTCTACATTTGTGAATTATTAAAGTGGTTCTGCTGCACTTAGAGGCGCTTCTTTTTTCCTTTTACTTCCCCTGACATTGCCTTCATCTCTTCAGAAGGCAGAACCTTCTTTGTTCAGGTGTCATCCAGAGTCACCATCTACTTCCTGGACTGAGATGCTGTCACAGAGATGACACAGTCGTGTAAATCCTGGAGCCTGTGCAGTTCAGAAAAATGTCTGACACAGATCAGACCCTTCTGCAGCCTCTCACCTGGTGACTTGCAGCACAGTTGCAGTGTTGAAGTCTGATCGCTGGGAGAGAAGACTAGGGAAATGCTGACTCTTACAGCAGACTGATGACATATCAGCGCATTACATAGACAGTCCTGAGAACTCATGGCTATACTGTGGGTGTAGGATTGTACTTTTTTTTTTTTTTTTTTTAATGGTGGAACTGGATGGATTTTTGTTTTTTTTTCAGCCAGACTAACTATATGTAACATTGCATAACCTTTCTCCCATCACTAAAGGAAGATGCAACATATTTATTTATTTTATTTATTTCAGGTACTTATATAGTGCTGTCAATGTACACAGCGCTTTAAACATATATATTGTACATTCCCATCAGTCCCTAACCCTCAAGGGGTGTACAATCTAAGGTCCCTAACTCACATTCATACATACACATGCTAGGAACAATTTAGACAGGAGCCAATTAACCTACCAGCATGTCTGTGGAGTGTGGAAGGAAACCAGAGTACCAGGAGGAAACCCACGCATGCACAGGGAGAACATGCAAATACTCCGGGCAGGTGGTGCCATGGCTGGGATTCAAACCAACGACCCCAGTACTGCCAGGCGGAAGTGCTAACCATTTAGCCACTGTGCTGCCCATTCACCACATTGGGATCTGTTAACATTTAAATGATCAGTTTTGGGTGGACTGGTCCGTATTGATTGAAGAGTGCTGGAGCCACTTAGTCCTCTAATTTGTGTCTTTTTGTGTCCACAGTAAGCCCGGTACATATGAAATCAGCACGTCAAGCCTCTGGAGTGTCCAAGTAAGACAGATCTTCATTATTGCAGAAGATGTTAAAAAATATTCCAGTGCTGAGCCCTCCTTGTGGAAATGCGAGGCTCCTCTGCTGTCATCCTCAGCCTCAGTAGTAGCTTCTCAATAGCTGGCACAAGGCAGGGAGCTGGGCAAGGATGGTCCTCGTGGTGGCTTATCTTGGGGTGAATAATGGCGATCTGATCTTTCTGAATGATTAATCCCCCAAAAGCGGCCATGTCTTAGATTGTAAGCTCCAAGGATCAGGGCCCTCCTAACCCTCTTGTATTGAACTGTGTCGTTGCTGTATTGTCTCCCGTTATATTGTAAAGTGCTGAGCAAACTGTTGGCGCCATATAAATCCTGTATTATTATTATTATTATACAGGATTTATATATTATTATTATTATTATTATTATACAAGATTTATATATTATTATTAATTATTATACAGGATTTATATATTATTATTATTATACAGGATTTATATATTATTATTATTATTATACCGGATTTATATATTATTATTATTATACCGGATTTATATATTATTATTATTATTATACCGGATTTATATATATTATTAATATTATACAGGATTTATATATTATTATTATTATTATACAGGATTTATATATTATTATTATTATTATTTTATACAGGATTTATATATTATTATTATTAATATTATACAGGATTTATATAGCGCCAACAGTTTTTTTCTCAGCACTTTACAATATAAGGGAGACAATACAGCAACAATACATTTCAGTACAGAAGGAATAGGAGGGCCTGGCTCGTGGAGCTGACAATCTAAAGGAAGGGGGAGGTGATCGCTGCGGGGGATGATCTGGTGGAGGTGATTCAAGTACAGTTCTTAGGTGGAGGTGGGGTAGGCTTCCCTGAAGAAGTGAGTTTTCAAAGATCGCCTAAAGGCAGACAGGGTGGGGGCTGACCGACACTGTGGTAGGGAGTTCCAGAGGATGGAAGAGGCTCTGGAGAAGTCCTAGAGGTGAGCGTGGGAGGAGGTGATGAGGGAGCTAGAGAGGAAGATATCATGGGAGGAGCGGAGTGGGCGATTTGGCCGGTATCTGTGAATGAGGTCGGTGATTTAGCTGGGGGCAGTGTGTGGATGGCTTTGTAAGCTGTGGTTAGTATTTTGAATTTTATACGTTGGGTTAGGGCAGTGTTTCTCAACTCCAGTCCTCATGGACCCCCAACAGGTCATGTTTTCAGGATTTCCCTCAGATGAAACAGCTGCGGTAATTACTAAGGCAGTGAAACTGATCAAATCACCTGGCAAAATAATAGAAATCCTGAAAACATGACCTGTTGGGGGTCCACGAGGACTGGAGTTGAGAAACACTGGGTTAGTGGAAGCCAGTGGAGGGATTGGCAGAGAGGGGCAGCAGTCGCCGATCGGTTGGTAAGGTGTAGGAGTCTAGCAGCATAATAATATGTTGGTCCGTTATCTCTGGGCATATTGAGTAAGTAAGTAAGATAGCCGGATGCACAAAACAAGCTCGCAGAATGGAGGGAAAAAAAAAAAAAAAAAAAGCAATCCAAATGTATAGGAAACTACATGAGAGAGATCCTTAGGTTGCCACTACCTTTAAGAATTCAAGGTGGTCCTTTGGCTTCAATACTGTCAGTCAGTGGCCCAGAGCAAGTATGCAGGTCAGTCTGACTTTGCTTGCGGCATACTTGTTCTGGGTCAGCAATTCAGAAAATGATAAAGTCAGAAGACCAGCAGATCACTCAGGCTTATTGCTTTTTTAGAAGGAAATTGCAATGGACTGCTGTATATTTTTTTTTTTTAGATTAAATGCAAGAACTTTATAACTGTATAAATACTGTATAATAATAATAACTGGCTGGGTATTACCTGTTAAAGTGAATTTATAACTAATGTTCTAGCAGTCTATCTAAATACTCCTTGCCCTTTCGCAGGCTAAGGCTTTTCCCCTCATTTATTGAGCCCAGAGAGGCAGAATGGATGTTTGAACAGCTACATCGGGAAATCCAGTGGAGGCAGAAAACCAATGTGGGGCCAGGTAAGTTCACACAGGTGCTATACTGAAATTATCCAGCAGAGGGAGACAGAGTCTGTTCTATTCTCTCATTGTCTACACTACTCTTCCAGTGGCAGTTAAAGGAGAAGTATAGCTAAAGCTCTTTTGGCTGTACTTCTATGGATCACAGCAGTGCAGTTCATCCTGCACTCCTGTGACCCATTTTCAGGCAACAGCGGGCTGAAGTCCGCTGTCGGCTGACATCACAGAGCTGGTCAAGGCCCTGAAAATTTTAAGAATCAAATTTCGTCATAAATTTAGGCCAAAATTTATTCTGCGACACGACTTTGCTAAAAAAAAAATCCCAATACGTGTAAATTAATTGGTTTACATGAAAGTTATAGCGTTTACAGATGGCTGTAAAGATCCTTGAATTTTTGTTTATTTTTTTATACTACTAATAGCGGCGATCAGCGACTTATAGCGGGACTGTGGGACTGCGGCAGGCATTCTGACTAACTGCCACTGACAGCTAATAAAAAAAAAAACACTGTACTAATGACACTGGGGACTAACTGCCACTATCCCCAGTGACGCCAATACAGTGATCAGCACTGACACTGTACTAAGGCACTGGGCAGGAAGGGGTTAACATCTGGGGCGATCAAAGGGTTAACTGTGTGTGTTTTGCTAGGGAGACATGCTGAGCAGAGAGAAACAAAGCAGCATGTCCTTGCTGACAGGGAGAGAGATCCGTGTTGTTTACGCACAGGTCTCTCCCCTGAAAGCTTTCTCCGACGATTGCCGAGTGCCGGCTAGGAATCGCCGTCCAGGACCCCGTGATTGACATCTCTAGCCAACAATAGCAATGCAGGTAGGGCAGTGTGCGTGCTCCCCCTACCCAGAAATGCAAATCGTTGTGTGTGTGTGTGTGTGTATATGTGTGTGTGTGTGTGTGTGTGTGTATATATATATATATATATGTGTGTGTGTGTGTGTATATGTATGTGTGTATATATGTGTGTGTATATATATATGTATGTATATATATATATATATATATATATATATATATATATATATATATATATATACATACACACACATACTGATTGGCTCCCATGCTGCACCAGATTCTGAGTGCTCCAGGTTTAGTAAATCTCCCCCAATGTATTTTGTCCAGTCTGTGTCTCTAGTAATGGAGGAAAATTGAGCCCAGGTGCTGGGACTTGTAGTAGCCCATCCTCTAGGTTGGTGATGTAGAAGAAAGATTTTCAGCCTGTGACAGGATTTGTCTTCTGACAGATGGACCTTACCAGGAGCCCCGGCTTACCTGCTGGTACGGAGAGCTGCCTTATACCTACTCGCGCTCTACGATGCAGGCCAATCCCCATGTGAGTATACAAGGCTTCTGTTTCCTCTGATGTCCAAAATGCAAACATAATGAGAAAAACTGATATCAGAGCCTGGATCGAGGATACAAGTATGTGCCCTGGCTATCCTCCAGGTGTATGGGTGTTATGTGCCCAGGGCTATCCTCCAGGTTATGGGTGTTATGTGCCAGGGCTATCCTCCAGGGTGTATGGGTGTTATGTGCCAGGGCTATCCTCCAGGTGTATGGGTGTTATGTGCCAGGGCTATCCTCCAGGTGTATGGGTGTTATGTGCCAGGGCTATCCTCCAGGTGTATGGGTGTTATGTGCCAGGGCTATCCTCCAGGTGTATGGGTGTTATGTGCCAGGGCTATCCTCCAGGTTTATGGGTGTTATGTGCCCTGGCTATCCTCCAGGTTTATGGGTGTTATGTGACAGGGCTATCCTCCAGGTGTATGGGTGTTATGTGCCCTGGCTATCCTCCTCCAGGTGTATGGGTGTTATGTGCCCTGGCTATCCTCCAGGTGTATGGGTGTTATGTGCCAGGGCTATCCTCCAGGTGTATGGGTGTTATGTGCCATGGCTATCCTCCAGGTTTATGGGTGTTATGTGACAGGGCTATCCTCCATATTTATGGGTGTTATGTGCCCTGGCTATCCTCCAGGTGTATGGTTGTTATGTGCCAGGGCTATCCTCCAGGTGTATGTTTGTTATGTGCCAGGGCTATCCTCCAGGTTTATGGGTGTTATGTGCCATGGCTATCCTCCAGGTGTATGGTGTTATGTGCCATGGCTATCCTCCAGGTTTATGGGTGTTATGTGAAAGGGCTATCCTCCAGGTGTATGGGTGTTATGTGCCATGGCTATCCTCCAGGTGTATGGTTGTTATGTGCCATGGCTATCCTCCAGGTGTATGGGTGTTATGTGCCAGGGCTATCCTCCATATTTATGGATGTTATGTGCCCTGGCTATCCTCCAGGTGTATGGGTGTTATGTGCCCTGGCTATCCTCCAGGTGTTATGGGTGTTATGTGCCCTGGCTATCCTCCAGGTGTATGGGTGTTATGTGCCCTGGCTATCCTCCAGGTGTATGGGTGTTATGTGCCCTGGCTATCCTCCAGGTGTATGGGTGTTATGTGCCTGGCTATCCTCCAGGGCTATCCTCCAGGTGTATGGGTGTTATGTGCCAGGGCTATCCTCCAGTGTGTATGGGTGTTATGTGCCAGGGCTATCCTCCAGGTGTATGGGTGTTATGTGCCAGGGCTATCCTCCAGGTGTATGGGTGTTATGTGCCCTGGCTATCCTCCAGGTGTATGGGTGTTATGTGCCCTGGCTATCCTCCAGGTGTATGGGTGTTATGTGCCATGGCTATCCTCCAGGTGTATGTGTGTTATGTGGCAGGGCTATCCTCCAGGTTTATGGTTATGTGCCAAGGCTATCCTCCAGGTTTATGGGTGTTATGTGACAGGGCTATCCTCCAGGTGTATGGGTGTTATGTGCCCTGGCTATCCTCCAGGTGTATGGGTGTTATGTGCCAGGGCTATCCTCCAGGTGTATGGGTGTTATGTGTGCCATGGCTATCCTCCAGGTTATGGGTGTTATGTGACAGGGCTATCCTCCATATTTATGGGTGTTATGTGCCCTGGCTATCCTCCAGGTGTATGGTTGTTATGTGCCAGGGCTATCCTCCAGGTTTATGGGTGTTATGGGCCATGGCTATCCTCCAGGTGTATATGTGTGTTATGTGCCATGGCTATCCTCCAGGTTTATGGTGTTATGTGAAAGGGCTATCCTCCAGGTGTATGGTTGTTATGTGCCATGGCTATCCTCCAGGTGTATGGTTGTTATGTTGCCATGGCTATATCCTCCAGGTGTATGGGTGTTATGTGCCAGGGCTATCCTCCATATTTATGGATGTTATGTGCCAAGGCTATCCTCCAGGTGTATGTGTGTTATGTGCCATGTGGCTATCCTCCAGGTGTATGGGTGTTATGTGCCCTGGCTATCCTCCAGGTGTATGGGTGTTTATGTGCCCTGGCTATTCTCCAGGTGTATGGGTGTTATGTGCCCCTGGCTATCCTCCAGGTGTATGGGTGTTATGTGCCCTGGCTATCCTCCAGGTGTATGGGTGTTATGTGCCCTGGCTATCCTCCAGGTGTATGGGTGTTATGTGCCCTGGCTATCCTCCAGGTTGTATGGGTGTTATGTGCCCTGGCTATCCTCCAGGTGTATGGGTGTTATGTGGTGCTGGCTATCCTCCAGGTGTATGGGTGTTATGTGAAGTTCCCTGCTTCCAGCAATATAGAGAATACTTTCCAGGGACACTTCTGCTGGCAGAGTACATGTGATATCGCCATGCTTACTGGGTGACCACACACCCGCATGACACTCAGACAATACACCCCCGGGATTGGGCCGCCTCAACACTTGGTGTGTGGAAGATCCTAAATGTGCCCCGCCCTCTTTGTCTCCTTCACTCCCATCCACACAGTGTGCAGAAACACGCTTCTCAATTTAAAGTGGTTGTAAATCCTTCTGTAACCAGTGAAGTGACTATCCTCAGGTGACACACAGAGCTGGAACAAATCCTTCTACATAAGTTGTACCTGTTTATCTGCTGCCTTTTCTTATCCACTGCAGTTCAAAGTGTACAGTTCACACAACATTTCTGAGCTTCAGAAAACAGGGGTGGGGATCTGATGTCACACACTGCAAAGCATAGAGCTGAGTGTAATCTGAGACCGGAGTCTCATAAGGAAACATACACAACTGAAGCTGTCAATCACCTGCTGTGTGCTGCTGGGGGGGTGGAGCATCTCCTGGGATTGTTGGTTTTGGCATGAACTGCCAGAACGTGACTCATGAAGACAGCAGAGGAATGACAGAGCAGACAGAAAATCACACTAGGTGCATTGGGTGGAGGCAAGTACACACTATAGAAGGATATGGTTTGTTCATTTTTATATCAGAGATTTACAATCACTTTAATGCTGATGTTTAATCTGATTTATATTTTGCATGCCCAGGTTGGCCAATCGGTGATCACATGAAGAGTAGTAAACAAGATGTCACTTCCTGACATCATTGCTCACTACTTGTGAAATCTGTGAATTATCACAGAGATCACATGTACAGGGCTATTCACAACAGCCTTGTACCATGTGACAAACTGTGACCAATCACAGCTCTCACAGTATTTCTCAATGGCTGCAGGAATGCAGCCAGAGAGAAGGAGAAATGATTGCTTTTACAGCCTTTATGGGTGTAAAAGCAATCTGTGTAAAAAAAAAAGAAAAAAAAAAATCATCACCCCCCACAAGTAGTACAGTGTCACTATGGTGACGCTGTACTGCTAGGGGTGACAGTATGTTTAAAAAAAACCCCATAAATAATAATATAAAAAAAAAAATACAAATGTAAAAAAAAAGTGAAAAATTATCATTTTTGTTATAAACTAATTTTGGGGTTTTTTTTTTTAATACTAAAAATATAGCTGAATGCATTTTGGCCAAGATCTATGAAGAAAGATTATTTATTTGCAAACTTTTATAAGAAAAACACTTTTTTTTTTGTAAAATTTTTGGACTTTTTCAAAAATAAAAGTCCCAGTGGTGAATAAATACCACCAAACTAAAGTTTTATCTGTCTCAAAAAAAAATGCTAAAAAATTCATATGGGTACAGTGTTGCATGACCGCGCAATTGCCATTCAAAGTGTGACAGCTGAAAATTGGCCTGGACAGGAAGGGGATGAAAGTGTCCGGACTGGAAGGGGTTAAAGTAAAGAGAGAATTCTTGCTCGTTCTTTGCTGGTTGGACCCGACTGATCTGTCCCGTGTCTGCAGTGGCATCCTCTGCTCACCATGCTGAAGGACCGCATCGAGGAGGTGACCGCATTCAGCTTCAACTCCCTGCTCTGCAACCTCTACAGACACGACAAGGACAGCATAGACTGGCACAGCGATGATGAACCCGACCTCGGCAGGAATCCCATCATCGCCTCATTAAGCTTCGGAGAGACCCGGGTGTTCCAGATGAGGAAGAAACCCCCACCGGTAAGATGGCCATGTGACTAGTGCGCATAGTGTGATTGGTCAAAGACTGAGGAACCCCAGAAGTGGTCCCAGGCAGTGCAGCCCCCCCCCCCCCCTTTCCCTGGGGTGTGACGTCACTGCTGAAGTTCCCACGCTGTCATACCTTTTTGACACTTAAGCTGGCCATACACGTATAGATTTTTGTCTCAAGAATATTCGGTTGATTTTCTAATCTTTAGTGGGGGTCAAATCGATGTTTGTTTTTGACCGCAGCGACAGGAAAATTCGAACAGGCAGGAAGGATGAAACGAATTTTCAGGCAGTATATGTGGTGATCATTTAGAAATTATATTCTTTTTAACCCCTTGAAGCCAACGTCACGCAAATATGCGGCCTCACGGAACTGGGCTTTTTGTCCATGGGGGCCGCATATATGCGTACCTGTCTTTGTGCTGGGAGCACGCCGCACTGCGCACTCCCAGCACCGAGACCGCTGTGTCACTGAGATCCCCAGGTCCCGTTCTAACGATCGGGACCCAGGACTCCCGATTCCGGGTCACATGATCGCTGTGATAGCCTCTGATTGGCTATCAGAGTGATCAGTCACTGTGCAGCCCGGCCCCCTTGTTTTTTTTTTTCTCCCTATGAAATGGAGAAGAGAGATACATTGTATCTCTCTAACTCCTGGCATAGAGAGAGAAAAAAAAGTTTGTAAAAAAAAAAAATAAAAAAATATATACATACATACATACCTAGATCAAAGTTTGATCTAGTTCAGTGCCAGGGTGTTTGGGTCAAGATCAGGGTCAAAGGTCAGGATTTAATGAAAAAAAAATTGGTGTCAGTGTGTTTTAGGTAAAAAAAAAAAAGACAAAAACAAAATGCGCACTATTGTTTCTGGGCTGTACTACGGGTACAAACAACAAATAACACACATATATGGTATCGCTGCGACCGCCAAGAGTTGGAGAATTTATTTTGGGTTGTTCTTTGGTGGTAGGTTAGGGTCGTAACAAGAAACACACAGCTAAATAAAAACTTTTTTTTTTACTATTTTGGGCCAGTTTTCTTTTGATAATAAAAAAAAAAAATCAGGAGATATCCATTACCATTTACCACCAATGAAAGCCCAATTTTGTCCTGAAAAAAACACGGCACCCCACCCCCCCCCCCCCCCCCCCCCCCCCCCCCCCCCCCCCCCCCCCCCCCCCCCCCCCCCCCCCCCCCCCCCCCCCCCCCCCCCCCCCCCCCCCCCCCCCCCCCCCCCCCCCCCCCCCCACCCCCCCCCCCCCCCCCCCCCCCCCCCCCCCCCCCCCCCCCCCCCCCCCCCCCCCCCCCCCCCCCCCCCCCCCCCCCCCCCCCCCCCCCCCCCCCCCCCCCCCCCCACCTCCCCCCCCCCCCCCCCCCCCCCCCCCCCCCCCCCCCCCCCCCCCCCCCCCCCCCCCCCCCCCCCCCCCCCCCCCCCCCCCCCCCCCCCCCCCCCCCCCCCCCACCCCCCCCCCCCCCCCCCCCCCCCCCCCCCCCCCCCCCCCCCCCCCCCCCCCCCCCCCCCCCCCCCCCCCCCCCACCCCCCCCCCCCCCCCCCCCCCCCCCCCCCCCCCCCCCCCCCCCCCCCCCCCCCCCCCCCCCCCCCCCCCCCCCCCCCCCCCCCCCCCCCCCCCCCCCCCCCCCCCCCCCCCCCCCCCCCCCCCCCCCCCCCCCCCCCCCCCCCCCCCCCCCCCCCCCCCCCCCCCCCCCCCCCCCCCCCCCCCCCCCCCCCCCCCCACCCCCCCCCCCCCCCCCCCCCCCCCCCCCCCCCCCCCCCCCCCCCCCCCCCCAAACCCCCCCCCCCCCCCCCCCCCCCCCCCACCCCCCCCCCCCCCCCCCCCCCCCCCCCCCCCCCCCCCCCCCCCCCCCCCCCCCCCCCCCCCCCCCCCCCCCCCCCCCCCCCCCCCCCCCCCCCCCCCCCCCCCCCCCCCCCCCCCCCCCCCCCCCCCCCCCCCCCCCCCCCCCCCCCCCCCCCCCCCCCCCCCCCCCCCCCCCCCCCCCCCCCCCCCCCCCCCCCCCCCCCCCCCCCCCCCCCCCAACCCCCCCCCCCCCCCCCCCCCCCACCCCCCCCCCCCCCCCCCCCCCCCCCCCCCCCCCCCCCCCCCCCCCCCCCCCCCCACCCCCCCCCCCCCCCCCCCCCCCCCCCCCCCCCCCCCCCCCCCCCCCCCCACCCCCCCCCCCCTAATCTCAACACATACTGCTCTCTCTGCTTCTGCTCACTCTATTTCTCACAAAATATCTGAAATAGTAAATTTTTTACTATTTTTCAGTGCTTTCTGGGCATTTTGGAAGGTCTCCTGAGGTTATCTTTAAGAAACGATTCTAAACGCAAACGCTCATAAACACGGTACGCAAACGCAGCTAAACAGACGGTTTTTTTTACCTATGTTTTCCAGCAGTCAGTTTCCATCGTTCAGAAGTGTCCCGTGTACATGGAGCCTAATGCTGACATATACTGGGGACTATTGCAGTTCCGGTGCAGTTCCGGTGTGCCTGTGGTTGGCAATCAAAGGAAGTAGTCACTGATGTATTATCCTATAATCTTACATAATCATCATTGTCATTCTGTAATTGTGCGCAGTTTATGTAACAGATGGCTCCCCCCCCCCATAGGATGGCGGTGGGCCCCCCCGCTGAGACCTGACATTAATGTAATAATGTAAATTGAGCCCCGTGGGAGGTGTAATGGCATCAGAACGGCGGCGTGTCTCCCAATTCCCGTCTGCGCACAAGTCACAACTGACTCCCACACATCCCGGGAGAAGGGTGACAGAGAGACACGAACTGCCACTTGCTGTGCTGCACGGGAGACTGCGCTCTGCTCTGCGATCTCACAGGCCGGAGATCATCCCATCTCTTTAAAGTGAAACTTTCAGTATCTTTACAAGTCTGCAAGAATACATTCCTAATGCAGGCCATACATGGATCGAAGTCCAACCGATTTTTCGTTCCGAAAATCTAAAACATCGTGAACTCCAGTTCAGGGACTTTGCCCAGGCTGAGAGGATGGCATCAATCTGCTGCAGGGAGGAGGAAGCATTTCCTTCATCTCCTGCCCTTCCAGTGATCAGACCGTACATTGTAACTTTGTAGCAAGTCACAAGAAGCTGCAGCAAGAACCTCTTCCCCACAACCCTTGCCCAGTGGTCGTGGCAGTCTGTGCTTATCAGAATCTGGAGCCCCCTTTAGTAATAAAAGGGCCCCTAGCTACTGCCCCCCCTCCCCCATGTGAATGAGTAAGAGGTACAAAACCAATCACATTTAAAGTGTTACTAAACCCACAACAGTACAATCAGTCTGTAGATGCAGTAAAGCATGCTTGTTATACTCACTGTGGAACCTAAGGGGTTAATCCTCTGCATTGTGTAAAAAGGCTGTTTGATCCTGTCTTCTCTGATCTCTAGTGAATGCAGGGTCCAGGAGACCAGATATAGTGAATGCAGGGTCCAGGAGACCAGATATAGTGAATGCGGGGTCCAGGAGACCAGATATAGTGAATGCAGGGTCCAGGAGACCAGATATAGTGAATGCGGGGTCCAGGAGACCAGATATAGTGAATGCAGGGTCCAGGAGACCAGATATAGTGAATGCGGGGTCCAGGAGACCAGATATAGTGAATGCGGGGTCCAAGGAGACCGGATATAGTGAATGCAGGGTCCGGGGAGACCAGATATAGTGAATGCAGGGTCCAAGGAGGACCAGATATAGTGAATGCAGGGTCCAGGAGACCAGATATAGTGAATGCGGGGTCCGGGGAGACCAGATATAGTGAATGCAGGTTCTGGGAGACCAGATATAGTGAATGCAGGGTTCGGGGAGAACGGATATAGTGAATGCGGGGTTCGGGGGAGACCGGATATAGTGAATGCGGGGTGGGGAGAGACCAGATATAGTGAATGCAGGGTCCGGGGAGAGAGCGGATATAGTGAATGCGGGGTCCGGGGAGACCAGCGGGGATATAGTGAATGCGGGGTCCAGGGAGAGTGGATTATAGTGAATGCAGGGTCCGGGGGGAGAGCGGATATAGTGAATGCAGGGTCCGGGGAGAGCGGATATAGTGAATGCAGGGTCCGGGGAGAGCGGATATAGTGAATGCAGGGTCCGGGGAGACCAGATATAGTGAATGCAGGGTCCGGGGAGAGCGGATATAGTGAATGCGGGGTCCGGGGAGACCAGATATAGTGAATGCAGGGTCCGGGGAGACCGGATATAGTGAATGCAGGGTCCGGGGAGACCAGATATAGTGAATGCAGGGTCCGGGGAGAGCGGATATAGTGAATGCAGGGTCCGGGGAGAGCGGATATAGTGAATGCAGGGTCCGGGGAAAGGGACTGGATATAGTGAATGCAGGGTCCGGGGTTTAGTAACACTTTAAATATTTTTGTCTCCAGTTCTAGCAGACCATACTGGTTACAGATGGAAGTGGATGGAGAGCTTTAAACGTGGCTCTCCTGTCTAAGTCTTCATTCACACATGCAGCCACTGGGGAGCAGTAAAACCAGGCGGCTGAGCCGTGGTTTTATCACCCCCTCAACTGCCCACCTGGACACTAACATACACCTGTACACATTCTGCGGCTACAATGCTGTGCTTCCCAGCCGTGGCAAAACTTAAACACACACATCACTTTCAATTGGGCAGTGACCGCACCAAAGCAACTGCTGCAGTTCTGTGGGGCTGCACCACAAGCGCGTGCGAAGCATGTGATTGTAGTGCGCCAATTATATTTAAATCAGGTGCTGGGGAGGCAAAATACCTCCTCCCCACCTGCCTCTGAAGAGCGATCCAAGTGTGGATTGTTTTTCAGAGGGAAATGTGAGTGAGCCCTAGGTGACACAACAGGAAGCAATAGGAGATTTCCCCAATGGGGTCACAGTTGTATAAACCTAGAAATTAAAACACATGTAAACTGCATGGGAAAGGACCGGCACTTTGTACCAACATCTGAATCGGCTGTATGTAGGATTTTATGCTTCCTTATGTATTTCTGTGTATGTGTTGGCAGGAGGAGCGGGGAGATTACACGTATGTGGAACGTATACATGTCCCGCTGGATGGTGGCACCCTTCTGATCATGGAAGGAGCGACACAGTCAGACTGGCAGGTGAGAGGAGGGACGATTCCTGTAATTACACTGTCATTATTCTGTCCATTGACCTCCTAAGGCGACAAGAGTTTGCAGGCTCCTCCAATGATGGTGCAAGAGGCAATCCAATCAGATTGGGATGCGACTTGTCATGTGACTCTGATGTCCAAAGTCACATGACAAGTCGCACAAGTGTGAATGGATCCTAAAGAAACAACATCTTGCCTTTTTATCCACCTCCCGTCCGGCCGTTGTATATAAACGGCCAGACGGTGGCAGTGCAGGGTCGGGTGGCCTTTTATAAACAGTCTCCCCGCCTCCTGCTTGTGCGCACCTCCTGGGAGCGCACAGCACCGCGATCCGGTGCCCGCTGTGTCCTCCAGACACAGTAGAACACCAATCGCTGTACAGGACCTCTGTGCGAGGTCCCAATCATGTGATCATGATTGGCCAATCAGTGATCACATGCAGAGTAGTAAGCATGATATCACTTCTGACATCATTGCTTACTACGTGTGAAATCTGTGAATGATCACAGAGATCACATGGTACAGGGCTATTCACAAGAGCCTTGTACCTTGCGACAAGCTGTGACCAATCACAGCTCACACAGTAGTTCTCAATGGCTGCAAAGAATGCAGCCAGAGAGAAGGAGAAATGATTGCTTTTACAGCTTTTATGGGAGTAAAAGCAATCAGTGTAAAAAAAAAAATCTTCATCACCCCCCCCACAAGTAGTACAGTGTCACCATGGTGACACTGTACTGCTAGGGTGGCAGTATGTTAAAAAGAAAAAAAAACATAAATAATAATATAAAAATAAAATAAAAATGTAATTAATGCTTAAAAATTATACTTTTTGGTTATAAACTAATTTGGGTTATTTTTTATTACTAAAAAGATAACTGAATACATTTTGGCCAAGATTTAGGATGAAATACTATTTATTTGCAAAAATTTTATAAGAAAAAGTTTTTTTCAAAATTTTGGGACTTTTTCATTTATATAGCAAAAAAAAAAAAAAAAAAATCCCAGTGGTGAATAAATACCACCAAAATAAAATTTTATCTGTCTAAAAAAAATGCTAAAAAAATTCATATGGGTACAGTGCTGCATGACGGCGCAATTGTCATTCAAAATGTGACAGCGCTGAAAGCTGGAAATTGGCCTGGACAGGAAGTGAAAGTGTCCGGACTGGAAGGGGGTAAAAGTGTCCGGACTGGAAGGGGGGGGGGGGAAAGTGTCCAGACTGGAAGGGGGTGAAAGTGTCCGGGCTGGAAGGGGGTGAAAGTGTCCGGACTGGAAGGGGGTGAAAGCGTCCGGACTGGAAGGGGGGGAAAGCGTCCGGACTGGAAGGGGGGTGAAAGTGTCGGGACTGGAAGGGGGGTGAAAGCGTCGGGACTGGAAGGGGGTGAAAGCGTCCGAGGGACTGGAAGGGGGTGAAAGCGTCGGGGGACTGGAAGGGGGGTGAAAGCGTCGGGACTGGAAGGGGGTGAAAGCGTCGGGACTGGAAGGGGGGTGAAAGCGTCGGGACTGGAAGGGGGTGAAAAGCGTCGGGACTGGAAGGGGGTGAAAGCGTCGGGACTGGAAGGGGGGTGAAAGCGTCGGGACTGGAAGGGGGGTGAAAGCGTCGGGACTGGAAGGGGGGTGAAAGCGTCGGGACTGGAAGGGGGTGTGAAAGCGTCGGGACTGGAAGGGGGGTGAAAGCGTCGGGACTGGAAGGGGGGTGAAAGCGTCGGGACTGGAGGGGGGGGGGGGGGGGAAAGTGTCGGGACTGGAAGGGGGGTGAAAGCGTCGGGACTGGAAGGGGGGTGAAAGTGTCGGGACTGGAAGGGGGTGAAAGTGTCGGGACTGGAAGGGGGGGGAAAGTGTCCGGACTGGAAGGGGTTAATTATTGTATCTGTGGTTCTCTCTGCCAGCACCGCGTGCCCAAAGAATACCATGACCGGCGACCGCGCATCAACCTGACCTTCCGCACCATGTGCCCAGAGACTAAAGCCTGAACATGAAGGACACGAAACAGAGCCTGGAAACTCCGGGCCGTGCGGAGGATCATCTGTGGAATGATGGGAGCTCCGCAAGATCCCGCGTCAGGCAATCGCGGCAAAACCTGACTGATTTTGCGTTTGTTTGCACTGCACATACAGTCAATTAAGTTAAGTTGGTTGGAAATTTTGTTCGTTATAAACTAAGATCAGAAAGATTCGTTAATTAAAGTGTCATTAAAAGAAAACTGACACACGTGCTGCAGTCTGTCACTAGCATTAGCGTGGAACTAAACTGTTGAATAAATGGCCTCCCCCCCCCCCCCTTCATCTCTGCCGCCATCTTGAAAATTCAAGTAGGTGTGTGCATGCGCTGCCAGAGTCTTCCAGGTATCTAGGACATGATGGAGACGGTGGTGGTGCCTACGCACACACACGGTGGGAGTTCTGTGCATGCACTGCCAGATGCCACGCATGCGCACATATGCCACACCGTTGCGGTTTAGTATTACCTGGCCTCTTGCGATAGGTCGCTGTCCCAGGAGGCAACAGGTCCAGAAACCCAGAAGTAACAAAAGTTACAGTAAACAGTAAAAAAAATAAATTGATTATTCTAGAATATCTGTGCTTGTGAGCTACTATAGTGTATTAAATAAAATGAAAATTATATTTATAGGTTTACTAGTGCTGTGGTTCACTGACACCTTTACACATATTCCTATGACTGTGCGATATTGGCTAATATATAATATTACATTTGTGTCGCGCTCCGCTGTGAATAAATAATTATAATTTTTTTGTAAAAAATCAATATTTAAATACAAGTGAAATTTAATTAACCTTAGTATATTTTTAAGTGCAATATGTGCTCTATTAAAATATATTATTATAAAATATATCAATTTAAGATCCAAATAAATTGATATATTTTATAATAATATTTTTTAATAGAGCACATATTGCACTTAAAAATATACTAAGGTTTATTTAATTTCACATATTATTTTTTTGTAAAATTCAATATTTAAATATAAGTGAAATTGAATAAATCTAAGATTTAATATTTTTATTAGTAAAAATATGTGCTCTGAAATTGAAAAATCTACTTATATTTAAATATTATTTTCAATTTAATTTGGATCTTCAATTTGATATATTTCTATAAAATATATTTTAATAGAGCCAATATTGCACTTAAAAATAAATATTCTAAGGTTTATTCAATTTAACTTATATTTAAATATTGATTTTTACAAAAAAATTATAAATTGAATAAACCTTAGAATATTTTTAAGTGCAATATGGGCTCTATTAAAATATATTATTATAAAATATATCAATTGAAGATCCAAATAAATTGATATATTTTATAATAGATTTTAACAAAGCACACATTGCACTTAAAAATATACTAAGGTTTATTCAATTTCACTTGTATTTAAATATTGATTTTTAAAAAAAAAAAATTATTCACAGTGGAGCGCAACACAAATTTTAATATTATACATAAGAAAAATTGATTAGCTTTTTTATAAGAGGACGGGGGGGGGGGGGGGTTAGTATAGTTCCACTTTAACACATCAGTTTTTTATTACCTGTTGATCCTGCCAGTAGATCCATTTTTTCCCCCAATTCCCTCCGGGTTACAGTTGTTGGAAACAATCCCTATGACACTGTTGGAGGTACTCACAAAGGTTGGCTTTTTTTTTTTTTGTTTTTTTTTTTTTATATGGTTTGAATCATTTTTCCAATAGAAAAAAAAATCTGTTGCTATAACTGCTTGTAAAGTTTTAGCTCGGGTTCTGCTTTTGTTTCTTAAAATTCTTCTAACATTACACGTCCATCTAATACTACACATTGACAGGGTGACAACCCTGCTGCACGATTAAAGTGCAGGATGGACAGTGTTGTCACCCAGTTACAGGAAGTGGGAAAACAAACGTAATAAAATTAAATTGGGGGGGGGGGGGGGGCAGCTATGTTAATGCTAGTGACAGACTATATCATATATGTTATTGTTTATTTTTTTTAATGGCAAAACTTTTTTTTTTTTAAGTTTTGGATGGAGTGGAGAGGGATTAGAACCCCGGTCAGGTTTTTATTGCCATCTGTGCCCCCTATTAGGGAGATTCACCCTCTGTATTTGTCCTGTTTACCATTATCACTGTGAAAGAAAATCCCAAATGTTGGGTAGTTACTGGAACAGGAATAGAAGGGAAATCTTCCAACCAGTTCTAGTGACAACCGGGGAGTCCCTCATTTTGGAGGGATTTCCTCTCATTTCCTGTTTTGGCTATAGGACAGGAAGTGAAGGGAAATCTCCCCAATGGGACACAGATGGTAAAAAGAAAAAAAAAAAACCTTGCAGGGGTTCACACTCTCCGTATCCAAAATAAAAGAAAAAAAAGAACCTTACAGGGGTTCAAAACCCTACCTATCCAAAAGGGGGGAAAAAAGAACCTTACAAGGGTTCAAACCCTCCCTATCCAAAATGAAAGGGAAAAAATTTTACAGGGGTTCAAACCCTCCCAATCCAAAATGAAAAAAATATTGTAAATAAAAGTCTTGACTTTAGTTCTACATTAATTTTGTGTTTGAGTGACAGAACAGCCAATTGTTTGCTTGATCATTGTTTAATTAAAAAATGTCTGATTGGCCCTTCAGCCTGGAGACAGGAGACAGTCTGGGAAATTACCAGAGCTACGTGCCTAACCTCAAATAAATTTTATTGTACAACCACAAAAATATAACATGAGAGATACATCGCCGATGTCATATTTTTTTGGTTGTACAATGTGGGGGGTGATGAAGATTTATTTCTTTTTTTACACTGATTGCTTTTACACCCATAAAGGCTGTCAAATCAATAATTTCTCCTTCTCTCTGACTGCATTCTTGCAGCTATTGAGAAATACTGTGTGAGCTGTGATTGGTCACAGCTTGTCACATGGTACAAGGCTGTTGTGAATAACCCTGTACCATGTGATCTCTGATCATTCACAGATTTCACTAGTAGTAAGCAATGATATCAGAAGTGACATATTGCTTATTACTCTTCATGTGATCACTGATTGGCCAATCAGTGATCACATGATCGGGACCTCGCACAGAGGTCTTGTACAACAGCAGGCACCGGATTGAAGTGCTGCGCGCTCCTTGGGAGCACGCACAGGCAGGGAAGCAGGAGGACATTTATAAACAGCCACCCGCCCTGCACTGCTCCTGTCCGGCCGTTTATATACATGGGTCGGACGGGAAGTGGTCAATCACTTTACCGCTGCCCTACAGCCGATATACTGCTACAGGGCGGTTTAGATGAGTTGCGCAGGCTTTTTGCCTCCACCGCTCTTCAATGAGTGGAATGCTGCACATTGCCCGCTCTGTACCAAACTTCTCCTAAAAATTGCAAGGTGAAGTTCTGCCAGATTCCCCCCATTGCACACATCTGCATGGACTGGAGCTCCGAATTTAGAGTTTCAAGCTGCCAATAATAACCGGAGCACCCTCAGGGACTACAGAAGAAGAGCAGTCGCACCTCTAGGTGCCACCTTCTGCTCACTGTCTTCCACTGTCGTTTGTTTGTGGCACAGGGTTATGTTTATTATGTTGCTGAAAGCAGTTGATGACTTGAAAACAGGACCCCAATGGGGGACCTCTGTGAGATGCCTCATTGCTCAGGGCTGTTGGTGTTTACATGGGCTTCCGTGTTATGTTGAAGTTGTCACAGTTGCCTGTATACAATAAAATGAAAAATCGCTTCCTTCTCACTTTGTTTTTTTGACGTAGCTGAGCAAAAAATGACAATCGCAAAGGACACCTCGGGTACAAGATTCAGAGATCTACATAACAAAAAAACTTGTATCTAGAAAATGTCTAAATCTTAAAAAAAAATGTATATCCACTCTTTGGTAGATTTGCTAAAAAAAATTTTTTTTATAGCTGTTCACAGTGGTGTATTTAGCTCTTGTGCTGCCCTAGTTTAAAAATATATTTTTTTTAAATTATATATTCTTCTGATTTTTTTTTTTTTTAACATATGGAAAAGTAATTTTAACATGTATTTTTACATATATTTGTAAATGCATTCCAAAAATGTACATTTTAATTTTTAAAGATATACAGTATATTTGAAAATGTATTTTTAAAAATATTTTTCATATATTTTGTAAAAAAACACATTTCAACATACAGTGTGTGTATATGTATGTATATGTATGTATGTATGTATGTATATATATATATATATATATATATATATTACACACATGTATATGTATGTGTGTGTATACATATGTATGTGTGTTGAAATGTGTGTGTTTTTATTACAAAATATATAAAAAGTATTTTAAAAATACATTTTCAAATATACTGTATGTATTTACAAATTACATTTTTGGAATGCATTTACAAATATATGTTACAAAAATGACCCTTTTTATATGTTAAAAAAAAATCAGAAAAATATTTTTTAAAAATATATTTAAAAAAAAATTCATATATTTTGTAATATATAAAAAAACGCATTTCAACACTAGATAGATAGAGAGAGAGAGAGAGAGAGAGAGAGAGATGGATATGGATATATATATATATATATATATATATATATAATATATTTGTAGTATTTCAAATATATGTAAATATATTTGGGAAGAATATTTTTTAAATCTATTTTTATTCCATATGGGCAGCTACCGTCGCCACCACTAAAATTGGTCGCCCCCAACCACCACCAGCACTTTGTCCAACCACTGGGACTGAAGGGCTATGCCTGGAACTTCTGGGTATGCAGAACAATGTGACCCATTTCTCTTCTCCCTCATGTCAAAAGACTGGTCATTGGCTACTCGGGCACCCAACACTGTCACATGGAGGTGAGAAGGGAGTCTTTAGGTCAGTGTAAGCTCTGAATGGGACACAGAGATTCCCATCCTGATGATGAACAGAGCAGTTGGGAAGATGAGTACGTGCCGCCAAGAGACTGACTTTAATGTGAATCTGTTGCTTTGCCTTGCATG